GGAGCAACAATTATTCTGAACATCAAATAAAATATTTTAGCAGCACTAGCAATAGGACAATCATTATTGAGTTTTTTGATGAAATCACACCGCACATCCTGCTCAGCAGTGCTGAGCCCTACCCGTTACCTATCCTAAACTCGAGGGAGGACAATTTCTCTGGCAACATACCCTCAAAAGCAATACACTGATTCTCCAGAGAGTGAATGCTTGAGGGAAAAATCAAGATTGAAAGACACAAGACTGTAATATAATAAGGTTCTGCCAGCTGTCTCCTCTCTGGAGGCTGGGCTTGCAAAATAGGTTAACTGCACTTTGACAAGCTTCAGTAATTACTTACCCTTCCTGGGTAATAAGGAAGCACATGAATTATTCAAATTGTCTATGCCATTATGTCTTTTGGATCTGTTCATGGATAAGCCAACATCAGTACATCTTTTACTCAATACTAAGTAGGCAAAGACGATAACTCAGCAGTGGGAGTAAGGAGTGAATGATCCATAATGGAGATTGTTTTTCCTTCCATTTGAAGTTGGACATAATAGGAACATGAAGTCCATGACTTCGAGACACTCAACATTTTTTCAAATCCTTTCAGCTAATTAAAAATAGTTCATCTGGTCCCATCCAGGCATGTACAATAGAAAAAAATGTTATTAGTCTAGGCCATTTTTTTGACATTCATCAGTATTTTAGTTATGAAACCACTCAACTCATTAATCATTTGACGTTAACTCAAAAACAAATGGTACCTGCATCTTCATTAGATGTGTATGAGACACTGAAGCCTCTGGCTGTACCGGACGTATCTGTCACCAAAACTACTCTCATTGTGTTTCCAGAAGATTTCACCTGAGTGCCTGGATTACTCTCGCCACACAGCTTAGCCAGTCGGGGGGAATCTGGTCTGAGGCCATTGTAAACCTGTTGGGTCAGAACACACTCTTAGGAGATCTATGTGTGGTATCACTGAAAAATGCTTCACGTCTTTAATATGTGGTTCATTTCTGTCCTTTACAGAAGGACAGAATCCCCAATCCAAAAACCTTAGGAAAAACTTCCATTGACTTGAATGGATGGGGCTCAGAGGTAAAGCATTAAAATTGCATTTTGGCAAAACATAAACATATTCCCAACACAAACATGCATGCATATTAAAACATTATTTGAGGGAAATTATATAGTACTTTATCCCAATATGTAGAGTTTGAATCACCTAATAAGGCCAGATACCAATAATTTGCATTACATTTCAGATAGCCATCTTCATATACTTGTTAAGGCAAATATGAGCTTTATCGAAAAATCTTTTGCGAAATATTCAGCACCACTAGGCATTTCTTGATTAACTCAAACATTTCACTTTTTGATAAGCTAAATAGATTTTGAACAGTTTCTTTCATACAGCCATCAGCCTAGGAGTTATTTTCCTTCCTTTTATGACTATCTTAGCAAACACAGGCAAAGCAGTAAAGGCATTTTCCTCTGAAATTTGGAATATGTAAGAGTGTTAATGACACAAAAGCAAGCAGGACAGCTCATTCTTTCAGTAATCATTACTTCTTTAATTGCTAAGAAGCCAGCTCCCATGGTCTGTCCATAGCATCTGTGAAGGAAAATAGGGAGGTGAAGATCATCTGGCTACATGTTACAAGGGAGAGTTACTTCTGTCACTTGGGCGTATGTGCATGAGCTAACTTCTGATTATGCTAAAGCTAATTAACGTGTTGCACCAATCATCTCAGCAAATAGAAAACCAAACTAGATCTATTGGTAGGAACCAAGATACAGAAAATACTTAGTGGACCTCTGCTTCACTGGAAAAGGAGGAGGAGATGGATCCCTTGCTCCCACTTGTTTCAGCCTTTGCCTTAGTCTTCAGAGCATCACACTTCACAGCACTACTTCCCCTTTCTGATGCTTTTATAAAAGGAACCATATTTCTGAGCTTTTGTACATCTGATTCATCCCAGCTCTGTGTTGTGTTACCTTTTTTTTTGTTTGCTTTTGTTTTTTATTTTCTGCTGGGCCCAAATTAACAACCTATCTGTTTAGAGGTGAAGGTGATGAAGAGAGAGAAAAATGTGGATTTTCCCTACCATCTTTGCAAAATCTGTGAGCATCAGACATTTCTTGCAGCTTCTGATAGTCTTATTTTTCAAAATTATAATAGAAGTAACAACCTCCAGAGTCAAGAGAGACTTGAAATTTGACTGATGGACTTTGTGCCCACATACAGAGGAAAATAAGGGATGAGGTTCTTTCCTTGATGTCTTTCTTAACGTCCTTCTTTCCATTTGTCCTTACTATTCCTATGGGAATAGGACAAAAAGAATTCAAGAGACCTGGAGGCTAAAGACTGACATAGAGAGACCTAACAATGTTAGAGCTGTATTGTGAGAACCCTGCAGCTCCTGTGCCAGAAATAACTTGGATGACCAAGAGACACTGGGGAAGCTGGAGGTGCCCCTGACCATTGTTAAATTTATTAAGTTGAAAACTGATCCTTCAAATCCAAAAGTCGGTCCCATAAATTCCAGAATGTCCTTACTCTAAAATAAGTACATGAACTTAGGCAACCCAGAGAGCTAACTTTTTCTCTTTATCTGTTTTTTTCGGATGAAATTACGATTTGTCTTAAAACCAGATATAGACATATGAATGACAATTCAGCTGTGTTATTTCTATCAGTGTTCCATAAAAGGATCAGTAACAGCATTTTCTGCCCTCACGCTTGATACTCACAGCCACATAATCTGATGAGCACCTCCAGTGCTCCTCAGTTTTCATATCATTAATGGTTAGGGTGACACGTCGGCCTTCTTCCACTGTGATCCTCCATTCACACACTCGATTATGCGGGTACAGGTTAGGATAGTTGGGCGAAGTAAACGTTCCAATGGGGGCAGTAAAATCCCCACCACACTCTGGAATACCCAAATGTTGCAACATATCTTTGAATACAGCATTGCTTATAGAGTTATAGCAAGAATACATTAATTATGTAAGAAAAAAAGAGAGCCCAGCTACTTGATTTGATATGTCTGCCTTGTCCATGCTTGGCTAAAGAGCTGAGTTCCTGTCAATCTTTGCCACTCAGCCACAGAAATAATTATATTTGAATATTAACTGACCGTAGAAACTAATCTTTATCCAATTAGTATTCTCTGAGGGTCTCAGGACAGACTTCATATGTTTTATACTTGTTTTCCTCTTAAAATACATGGATATAATTTAATGAAGTACAATGGGAGATGAGGAGGTGAGCAAACTTCAGGTCCCTCTCCCCACTTTTCCACAAAACGCTTTGAGCACAAGGTGGAGGGGAGAAAAAAATAACTCAAAAGCATTTGTTTTAGGCACTAGAGATTTAAGAATACTACAGAGGTACAGGAAAACATAATGGGAAATCACAGCATTTCTCTAAACCTTTCTCCTTGACAAGAGGGATATGAGAAGGGTATCGCAGGGCATCCGCGGACTGACTTCTGGAAAGAAAAGGTGGGGAAGAACAGCTCCACTGTCTGATACCAACTGTTGAGGGCAACATCTCTGCAGAGCAGAAGACTGCTTGCCTCTCAAGGTTTCTGCTAACTAGCGATCAGAGAGCTCTATCCATATTTAAGCTAGACAGATTTGAAGAGCAAATACACACCACACCTAGGACAAGTGAACTAGAACGTGTGCTGTTCTATACCAGTTCAAGTTTGTGGTATATGTTACACCCCCAACAGAAACTTGTAGCCTTATAAATCCAACCTTCAGAACTGGAATCAAAGCGCAGTCTGAATCCTCGGGCATTGACTGATCCATCAGTGACAAACTTGACATAAGCAAAACTGTCAGAGGTGTCCACAGCATCAGGGAGAGTATTACCACAGTACCTGCCCAACACATTTCCTGCACAAGTCAAATACAGAAAGACAATTTTATATCAAAGACATTATTTGCATTTATACTGAAGGATCACTTTTCAATTTAACTAGTGGGACAGGAGTAAACAAGTAAAATGAAGTCATCAGAGGGAAATGGAAGGGTTTTGTTTGCATTGCTTTGCTTCAGCAAGCAAGGTGGACAGGAGCAGTGTTCATTCAAAAGGCTCCCTTCATGCACAGTGGGGAATGCTTTCTGCAACCTCGTCAGAGGTTTCTTTGGCAGTGTTGGGAAAGGGGAGACAAACATTGAAAGAGTTTTCTGACCAGAGGCGTTGTATTCTCGGATCTCCACAAAATCGTTTGCACACTCAGAGGAGTTCTGAATATCTAGGCCTTCTACTGTGATGGTAAGATAGTGGCCCCTGGGTCCTTGCAGAAACCATTCACACCGCAGGTTATCTTCGTAATGAAGGTCAGGATACCCCACACTTTCAATGGTGCCTGTTTGTCCGGTCACTGTTCCACCACAGGTTGCTGCAAAGGCAAGGACATGGCTTACTCCAAGGAAGGACCTAGGAGAGAAGCTTTCTCCTATACAGGACTTTAAGCTATATGTTGTTTTGTAACTGAAGTAATATAGTAGAAATGGCCTTTAGATTCCACATTCTCCCTCTACTTCAGCTAGTTCTAGTTTGTCTGCAACCAACACTCTCCCACTCTAAGCATCCCTTTCTCTCTGACCTGACTGTCACTAATTCAAACAATCTCAAAGATTTCAAGACCTGAATATAGTTTCTACTAATATCTGTATTTCTGGAAAATCCAGTTCTTCTTAAACAGACATAAAACATTTCACAGTCAGTGTATGGAAATCTCTATTGGACAATTACAAAGAAACTTAGTCTACTAAATACTGATCTACATATTTATAAGGGACCAAATTTGACTGCTGGTTTGGACCTATGGTTCAGATTCTTATTCTCTTTCCTGCATTCCCTTCCTACTTCCATACCACTCCTCATGATGCCCCTATAAGGGACCACATCACAGTTTCTTTATTTTTATTTCTTGTCCTCTGAAAATTCATTTCTTTACAGTACCTACCAAACACAAGTTCCTAATACTAAGGCTTAGAGCAAAGAATATTCCCTGGTGGAATACATTGGATTTCACAGTGGCTTTCACATTCATGGCAATGATAACAGGTACATGCTTGCCTTGTACAGCTGTGTTCATATTGCCTACTCTAAGTAACTAGTACTTTGTTACAAGTTAATGGACAGTAGAGACACTGAAAATGTTTTACAGAGAAATATAAATTGTGGCTCAGCATACCAACAATATTTTTTTACAAGTGGCTTCAGTTTCCACTTTCAGAGATATAATAGCAGGATATGTTTGCTTATGTGTTTGCAGCCTAACAAAATGAACAAAATCCTGTGTAAAACAATATAACGCTCGCCTTTGATAAATTAACAGACCTAGATGACTTTAAATGTGCAACACTAACATAATAGGTGCTGTTACTTTAAAATTATGAACACTATAAAAAGGTAAAGAGTACCACATTTCTGAATCTGATTAAAGACTATTTTAAATTTCATTTTAAATCTTTATTAACCTTTTCCTCTCTTTTTT